CTGGCCACTGTGATCCACACGACGGTCACCTCGAGGCTTGACTACTGTAACGCTCTCTACTTAGGGCTGCCTCTGTCGCAAATCTGGAAGCTGCAGCTAGTGCAGAATGCTGCGGCCAGGCTGTTGTTGGGCCTCTCTAGGCGAGACCATATTCGGCCTGGGCTGCAAGCGCTGCACTGGCTGCCGATAGCATACCAGATTCGCTTCAAAGTGCTGGTTCTCACCTTTAAAGCCCTGAATGGCCAGTGTCCGGCTTAGCTGAAGGACCGTCTCTTCCCGTATGTTCCCTCAAGAGCACTACGATCGGGGAAGCTCCATCTCCTGGGAGTGCCAGGTCCCAGAGAGATTAAGTTTGCCTCTACTAGGGCCAGGGCATTTTCGGTGGCGGCTCCTACCTGGTGGAATGAGCTCCCAGAGGAGATCCGGGCCCTGCGGGATCTTATGCAGTTCCGCAGGGCCTGCAAGACGGAGCTCTTCCGCCAGGCGTTCGAGTAGGAGCCGCCGCCGCCACTATTCTACCACCGAGGTGGCAAGTCATCGGCTGCCCTATAAGAACGGGGGCAAGCGGGCCCTGGCAAAAGTTTGAGACAGTGTAGTGGGAGACCACGCTACTGAGACAGCTAGCCACCAAACCTGGGGGGGCTGTCCCCATCTTGGATGATTAATATAAGTATAGCACCGTATTATTGGAAGGTTTTATTGTGATTTTAAATGTTCTATTTATTATATATTGTATTGTATTTTGCACTCGGCTTTGCCGCATGTGAGCCGCCCTGAGCCTTTGGGGGGGCGGGATATAAATCAAACTAATAAATAAATAAATAAATAAATAGTTCTGACCAACAGAGACCTGGACTGGAGATCTAAAGAACAGTTTGCTGGGGCTTGGGGTCCTTTTTTTATGGACAGAAGGCCCCACGTCTCTTGGGAATTCAACAATCCCTAGTTTGGATTGGGTCAAGATAAGTTTGAATCTTACTGGCAGGTTTACAGTTAACTGCTGCTATACTTCGGAAAGAAAAACTGGGGAACTTACTTTGATTAGGCTGTTGTGAACCAGATCTGCATAGGCACAAAATCAACTTATGGTGGGCAGACACCTCCGGGTGTGTGAGGATGTTGGGTGATGTCTTCAGCAAATTTTCTGGCTACTCCCCTGGATTGGCCCCAAATCACCCAGTAAGCTTCATCGACAGCTGCCCAAGAAGTGGTGGTATCCCCCTCCCTGAGAATGCTGCCTGAGTGGGTCAATGGCAGTGCCAGCAAGTAACATAAGGTCCTTTCAGTTCTGCTGCCCTTGCCCCCAGCAATCCCTTCCAAACTGGAAGAGTAGATTTAGGGGTCACAGGACCTGCATGAGCCACACCAGTCAGTGGGTTTCAGTGAGGGGGGGGAGTGAAACTGTCCCTCTTGCCTCTTCCATCAGCAGCTGTGTTGATGGAAGAGGTAACATAAAAACAGAAGAAGAGCCGTAGTGGATCAGACCAGCTAGTCCAGCATCCTTTCTCACAAAGTGACCAACCAGTTCCTCTGGAGAGCCAACAACAGGATAGAGGCCGAGGCCTTCCCCTGCTGTTACCTCTTGGCATTGGGATTCAGAGGTTGACTGCCTCTAAGCATGGAGGTTCCCTTTAGTCTCCCTTTAGGTAGGAGAGGTGATTTCAGCAGGCTTTTGCAGACCAAAGAGATGGGAGGGAACAATTTTGCCTCCTCACTGCAGTCTTCTGACCACCACCCCGCGCTGTTACTCCACATGGGACATGTGATCTCAGGAACTGAGTTTCCCAGGGGTTATTGCACAACTATTACAATATTAAAAAGTGTTATATGCGTGTGTAAATTTTGTATTCCCTTTCTGTGTGCTAGCATCACCTTCACATGCCTTATGTATTAAAGAATGTCTGCAGAGAAGGCACGTCCATTTAGGAAGTCACATATAATACCGTTTTTCAAACTATGACCCATGTACCGTTTTGTGCTGCCCATAATCAGCCTCTGTCTACTAGGCATATGACACTTTTGAATGCTCCTTTATTGCAAAAAAAATGTGTTGTTTTGACTAACTTGATAGGCAGGCAGCATTGTTATGGCTAATTTTGTTGTAATAATAATAATAATAATACTTTCCATTTATTAATCGCTTTCCCCAGTGGGCTCAAAGCGATGTACAGTTACTCAAATATAGACAAGGGACTAACAATGTTTGTAGGGGATAGGGAAGACAACATATATTCATTTTAATTGCACACGCCGACACTGCCCGGTGTAGAACGTCTTCTGGCTGGCTTCGTCATTTTCCGGCACGGCTGCTTGCTGGCCAGGCTCCAGGACCCGTATGTCTATCGCCACACTGCCACCGCCTGGCCGGAACGTCCATTGCAGGAGTTCTTTCTGTAGTCCGCAAGCTTGTTTCGCCTTACAAGCCTTGATCAGGACGTCCGACCGTCAGCTAACGCCCTCCCAGAAGGGAGATTCATGCCTAGTCTTTTCCTCCATCTTTTTCAGAGTACTTGTACCATTGTACAAAGTTTTATTTTTGTTAGGTCATTTTTAATTAGTTTAAAAGAGTAGTTAATGCCTGGAAATTGTGTTTGTCCTGTGTGGAGCAGGCATAAATTTACAATTTGTAGCAAGGAAGAATCGAGAAACCTAACTGTCTGAAAACCAACTGTGTGGTTGGCAATTCTAACAGCATTGGTTAAAGCCTGTTGTTTCTTGTTAAGACACCTTGTTTACATACTGCATGGGGAATGCCCTAGGCTCTTTACAGATTAAGTTGTTTTTTAGCACAGAGCATATTGTTGGCTTGAACCTACAAGAGTATTTCTCAGATATATAAATAAAGATGATTTCCTGTAAAACTCTAACCAGCAGTGCTTATAGCTGGTGAAGTGTACAAGTTTAGTGCTTCTTGGGTTGGACAAAAGTAATGTGTGAGAATGTTTTGGAAATTCCCATAGAGACAAAAACTAAATCCTCTGTGAAAAGATTTTTCTAATAACTCAGTTGGATACTAAAGCTTTGCCAGATTTCCAAGGAACCTGCTGCTTTCATGTTTTAATCCATGAAAAAATGGGATTGACATTTTTTAATGTTGAACAGTGGGTTTGGGGAGACTGCAAATATTTTTCTTTCATTTCTAGAACGTTAAAATATGCAACTGCTGGATGGTTTTCTTTTGACTTAGACCCTAGGGTGTAGCAATTTGTAAGAGCTTGATACCTGATGTTGCTGTGATTCCCTATCAGCATACGAAATTTGTTTTTCTCTGTACACTATGGAGCATTTTCTTTTAGCATGGAGGTAATACAGAAATGCATGAGGCACTCTGTGTTTACTACCAAATTTACTCCCAGTAACGTGTGTCCTTTTATTCCTTTCACATTTCAGGTGGAAATTGATACAGCTCTGAGTGACTTGGAGGCGGGAGACTTTGCAGAACTGGTAAGGATTCGGGTTTTAACAGGCTGTATTATACATTTGAGGGGCTGCGGTGGCTCAGTGGTTAAGATGTTGAGCTGCAGACCAGAAGGTCGGTAGTTCAGCAGTTCGAGACCTGAGTGCCACATGACAGAGTGAGCTCTGGTCCCAGCTCCTGCCAACCTAGCAGTTCGAAAGCAAGAAATTACAAGTAGATAAATAGGTACCGCTTTGGTGGGAAGGTAACAGCGTTCCGTGCACCTTGGCGTCTAGTCATGCCTGCCACATAACCACGGAAACGTCTTCAGACAGTGCTGGCTCTGCGGCTTGGAAACGGAGATGAGCACCGCACCCCTAGAGTCGGATTCGACTGGCTTTCGAGCAAGGGAAACCTTTACCTTATTATACATTTGTACTGGCCTTACTCAGTACACGTCCACTGGTATAACTAAACTGTTACATTGTTGGTGGATTATTTCAAAGTGGTATAATTATCATTCATGCCAGGGTTGGAGTTAAGGGTCATCAGACCCTTGCTTGGTGCCCATGCCTCACTGCCAGCTGCCCCGTATCCCTTTCTCCTTGCCACTACTGCCTGCCCTCTTTCTTGGCCCAGGGAAGGAGAGCAAGCAGTGGCAGTGAAAGGACGAGTGGCAATAAAGCCACTGCCACTCTCCATTGCCACCCAGAAGGTGAGGGTGCTGCTCTTCCTGCCCATTGTCACCACTTGGGAGAGAACAAGGGTGAGTATGAGTAGCAGCTACCACTTGCTTACCTCTCCCTCTAGGCAGCAGAGGGGACTGGGCACAGATGGGAAGCAAGTACTGTTGATTCCTTTCTACCAAGAAGTTCAGTTGGCTCAAATACTGTTACAAGCATCACTGGGAAAGTGCACTCATTTTCAAGGAGCGCCATCTTCCCAGAAGTATTTCCTAGGTTGGCTTCTACTTATCTTTTGACTGGGGGAAAAGAGAGTGAGAGATCTTCCTGGTCAGACCAGTTATTTTGTATTGCTTGTGGACTGGGTTTCGTGTTTCCTCAATTGTTCTGCTATCTTACTGTACATTTGGCTCCCTTTCTCTGCTTTCTGGCTGTCCAAAACAAAATTTTGGCCACCCAGTTGAACTGTCTTGGCTACATCGAATGAAGCTGACACAGCTTTCTAATTGATGGAGGGTTCCCTGACAGAGTTTAAGAACTCTGTTAGTGTGTGTGTGTGTGAAAGGGAAAATGAATAACATTCTGATGCTTTCATTAATAAGTATGTCTAGAATATATATGCTTTTCTACTTACTCAGCAATTTCTAGCTAATAGCAGAGCATACCAGTTTCTTCAGTAAACTTTAAACTTATGTCTAAGTCACTTCTAGGTGTTCTGAATAAATGGAATGTATGTGTAATCCTCATGGAAGAAATTGTAAAGCTCTTTTTCTATACAAATGACTTCATAAATAGTGAATTATCTGTATAGTTCAAATGTGTTTTATTAACAAAACATCAGAATTTACAAGACACTTTTTCACTAGCTATTTTTATGGCATTAATTGTAAACTTGATTCATGTTTCTAGAACATCATAAATCCTGAAAAGTTATGACTTTGCTGCTTGGAATCAAAATCAAGGCTCAAACTAGCAAAGTGTTACAACCTTTACAATCAGTTCTCAGTTTTTAAGAGCCACCTGGTTTTATAGGCTAACCTAAACTTTCAATCATTTTATGAGTTGGACGCAATTTGGCAAAATAGTCAGCAATGCAGGGGTGTCCTTGGACATCTCAGATGAAGTTTCAAACTTTCTATTCTGCAAAGTGTATTTATCACCAGCTGCTAGTCAAATAAAAAAGGCATCCTGAGGCTTGAAAAAATAACACTGTTCTTTCTAAGGCTACACTTGAATTGCATTGTTTGGATCAACTAAAAGCTCTGACTTCATTGTGCTTTGTTTGCAGTCTGAAGATTTCTATGACATGAGACGACTGTACACCATTTTAGGCTCGTGCCTCTTCTACAAGGTAACAATTTGAAAACATCACGGGATGCTAAAAAATGGTAACCTCAAAATACCAAGCAGTGGTGGGGAAGAAGTAGTTATTGATTAATTGTTGCAATAAATGAAACTATTACAAAACATCATAGACTTTGGTTCTTTGCATCACCTTCTTAGTAAATTAGGTTCTTGCATTATAATTAAAGGTTCCTAGGCTCACATGTTTATCAGGCTTCTTTCAAATATAGCCCTTTACACCCCACTTTGTTAATTTTTGTGGATTTGTATATCACTATACAAAACAGGCAGCGAAAGAAATTCTCAGAAGTTCCCCCACCTCAAACTTTCTTTTATATTGATGTAAGAAATACCCCATTTTTAATTTATACGTCTTGTCCACCTGCAGAAATTTAAATTCCCCTCCCCATGTCACTACTCCAATTTAAGTCAAGCTGCAGCATAATTCTAATGTAAAGCTTTTTAAAAAGCAGGAAATCTTTGTCATTATTTTGGCTAGAGTTCAGTGGCACCTTTAAGACCAACAAAATTTTATTCAGGGTGTGAGCTTTCGTGTGCATGCACACTTTGTCAGACAATGAAATGGAATTAGAGATCATAGTTGTATATATAGAGGGTGGCTTGTTAAATTAGCATGCAAAATAGTGAAGATGTTTTTTAACAGATAAAAAGAATTACAAACTTGGTTTCTGGTTATCATCTGTTTGGGGAGGGGAAAACAGCATAGGTAATAAATAATGTCAGAACTGAAGATGGATGTACCCTAAATTGTGAGTCATTAGATCCCATCCATCTCCTTTCTAGCATGGAGGCAAGCTTTAAAGCATCTTGGTTGTGTAGAGTATTTTCTCCATCTGAGGTGGAGGACAACTCCATGGGTTATTCCCACTGTGCCTTTAGGGAGGCAGGAAATGGTTTTTTCCCCTTCCTGTTGGCGCCTCCGGAATAGTCCACCTCTAGTTCTGTTCCTGCCTCTATAGCAGCGGTTCTCAACCTGTGGGTCACGACCCCTTTGGGGGTCGAACAACCCTTTCACAGGGGTCGCCTAAGACCATCGGAAAACACAAATTTTCAATGGTCTTATGATAGCAACGAAAATAATTTTATGGTTGGGGGTCACCACAACATGAGGAACTGTATTAAAGGGTTGCGGCATTAGGAAGGTTGAGAACCACTGCTCTATAGGGAGAAGCAGCATTGTCTAGCTAGTCTTAGCTGTAGTTTTGAAAGTATCCCTATTTTCCCTTTCACTTGCCTTTGCCTTGCCTCCTTTTCTTCTCTTCTCTTCCTCTTCTTCTAAGTTCTTGTTTCTGCTCCACTCTTGGAGTGAAGTCTTCAGGGGTCTGCTGACCCGAAGAAAGTTCGGCCTGCCGCGATGGCGGCAAAAGAACTTCCCAAGGTTTTTTCCTCGGGCGACAAGGGAGAGGTGCGCGCCATGTCGACGTTGGCGCGGGAAGACTTTGGGACTGATCAGCCTTCGCGGCTTGATCGTGCGTCCCCGACATCAGTGGCTGGAGCGGCAACAACACGGAGCCAGGAGCGTCGCCGCCAACCTGAAGAGGAAGAGCCCGCCATTGTCCATGTGTGCCTTCGGGCAGGCGGCAGCCATTTTGAGGATTTGGCTTCGAGCTTTGGACCTCTAACAGGAGCGACCCTGGGAGCCACAGGGGCTGAAGGAGGCCGTCTTTCCACCTCTCCTGCTCTAGTGCATCAGGATCAGATGCGGGATGGCGGCTCTCAGACGGGTAAGCCTCCTGAACAAGGGGTCCTGGTTCCCTCCTCAGACCTTATGGAGTTTATCAGACAGACCATTCATCAAGAGATGGCCCAATTACATACCAGACCCGAGGTTACAGTACAGCAGGAGGTTCAGCATCTTAGTCCTCCAGTACCTTGCCCCACTGGCTGGCCTACCAAGGCCTGGGCAGTGGAGGTCGTGTCTCATGGAGGCGTATCTCCATGTTCCAATCCACTCAGCCCACAAACGATTTCTTTGTTTTTGCATATATGGTCAGCACTTCCAGGACAGAGCTCTTCCCTTTGGTCTTTCCACAGCGCTCAGATTGTTCACCAAGCTGATTATCAACCCGGTGAGTCATCTCAGGGGCCAAGGGATCTATGTGCATCCGTACCTGGACGCTTTGTTGGTCCGGGCCAGTACACGGTCGGAGTCCATTCAGAACACCGAAAGGACCCTGCAGTGTCTTCGCAATCACAGATTTCTAATCAACCTCGAGAAGAGCTCTCTCAACCCGTCCCAGCGGGTAGAGCATCTGGGTGCAATGATCGACACCACCTGTAGCGCCCTGTTTCTGCCGACGTCCAAGGCTCAGAAGATCAGGGCTCTCGCCACGCAGGTTTACCACAGCAGGTCTTCAGCTCTCATGGAGTTGGCCAGACTCCTGGGTCTAATGATCGCCAGCATCGACATGATCCAATGGGGCCGTATGCATGCCGGACCATTGCAGATGTTCCTTCGTCCCCATCAACTAGACATCATGCAGAAGAGAACCATCAACCTGCAGGTTCCTCTCAAAGTCAAGAGAAGCATACTTTGGTGGGTGGACATGAACAACCTCTATCAGACAAGAATTACTATGTCTGTCACACCAAGGAGCTGTTCAGCGACGCCAGCCTCCAGGGCTGGGGGGCAACGCTAGAGGGAGTCCCAGTCCAAGGGACTTGGTTGCCGCCCGAGAGGTCTCTCGCCCGAGAGGTCCCTTCCGATCAGTCTGCTGGAGATGAGGGCGATTCATTTGGCTTTGGTCCACTTCATTTCCCATCTGCGGGGCCAACACATCTTGATGAGAATGGACAACATCTCTGCCAAGGCTCATCTCAACAAGCAGGCGATCCTGCCAACTGCACAAGGAGGCAATGAAGATTCTCTTTTGGGCAGAGAGGAGTGTTGCGTCCTTGAGGTCAGAACACAGAAGAGGGATCAAGAACGTCCAGGCTGACTGGCTCAGCAGGGAGACATTACAGGAGGGAGAATGGGCTCTCCATCCAAGTCTCTTCGACAGGTTAGTGATCCATTTCAGGCAACCAATACTGGACTTATTTGCGTCACCAATGAACCACAAGTTACCGAGATTTCTCACCAGATATTTTCACCAGGAAGCAGAGGCGACGGATGCTCTCATGACGAAGTGGCCTCCGGGCCTGCTGTATGCATTCCCGCCATTCATCCTGATCTCCAGGACTCTCCGCAGAATCAGGGAGCTCAAAACAGAGGTCATATTCGTGGCTCTGAGATGGACACGACGTCCATGGTTTCCAGCACTGCAGAAGATGTCGATTCTTCTGCCATTGGTACTACCAGTGTCTCCAAACATGCTCTCACAGGGACCAGTGTGGCATCCAGATCCAGCCTGGTTATGTTTGACCACGTGGAGATTGAGCGGGGCAGTCTAGCAGAGTTAGGATATTCTACTCTGGTCATGGACACCATCATGACTTCCAGATGGAAATCCACGATTCCCATATATAACACCACCTGGAAGGTGTTCGTGAGATGGTGCAGATGGAAAAAGGTGGCTCGCCGCACAAAGGGGAAAAGATGTCTAGGTCTACGATCAGTTCGGTCCTGAAGTCCTGCATCGTAAAGGCTTACCGGGCTTCGGGACACGATGTTCCCAGCGGCATCACGGCACATTCACTGAGAAGTGCAGCGACCAACAGCTACGTGGTCCTCCATCTCTACCTTTACAAGGCACTACAAAATCAACACTGTGGCATCTGCAGATGCGGCGTTCAGGAGAAGAGTGCTTCAGCACGTTGTGGCATTGGAGGAAGATGACAACCCACCTGAATGAGGGACACTGCTCAGGGAGGTCCCATGAAGATGTCCTCCATCTCAGAGGGAGAACAACCATTGGACACTTACCGTGAAGGGTCCTTCTCCTCTGAGGACAGGAGGACATCTCAGCCCTCCAAAGTGGTGCTCTGCACGGACTCTACCTTCCGACCCAAGATAGACTCCAGATTTCACTGATCACAGGAAATACGCTTGCCCACCTTTTGTCCTCATCCAAAGCATCCGAAAGTATTCCTCTGGCATACCTTAGATGTTAAAAGAGCTCTCAAAATGTACATTGCAAGGACAGAGTCTTGGAGAAAGACTGAGTCTATGTTCATCGGCATTTTCTCGCCGCACAAAGGGGAAAAGATGTCTAGGTCTACGATCAGTTCGGTCCTGAAGTCCTGCATCGTAAAGGCTTACCGGGCTTCGGGACACGATGTTCCCAGCGGCATCATGGCACATTCACTGAGAAGTGCAGCGACCAACAGCTACGTGGTCCTCCATCTCTACCTTTACAAGGCACTACAAAATCAACACTGTGGCATCTGCAGATGCGGCGTTCAGGAGAAGAGTGCTTCAGCACGTCGTGGCATTGGAGGAAGATGACAACCCACCTGAATGAGGGACACTGCTCAGGGAGGTCCCATGAAGATGTCCTCCACCTCAGAGGGAGAACAACCATTGGACACTTACCGTGAAGGGTCCTTCTCCTCTGAGGACAGGAGGACATCTCAGCCCTCTTGCTGTCATCTTTCTCTGTTCCTATTTTCTATGTGCTGATTTCTTCTCTCATTACTTGTTACTCATACTCTGGGTGTTCTAATCCTGCAGAGTTGGGTTGTTGCATGTTGAAGTTACGTTTCAAGTTATATTTTATAGGGCAAGTCCAGTTATTTCAGGCTACAGGCACTGCTTTCAGAGTCCCAGAACTGGAGATGGGCTATTCCGGAGGCGCCAACAGGAAGGGGAAAAAACCATTTCCTTCCTCCCTAAAGGCACGGTGGGAATAACCCATGGAGATGTCCTCCTGTCCTCAGAGGAGAAGGACCCTTCACGGTAAATGTCCAATGGTCATTTCTTGTCCCCAGAACAGAGAATTACATTTAAATCTGCCATTCCAAATTACATTACATATCCAATTATATTCTCAATTGCTAAGAGTAGTAAACTGAGGGGTTTTTTTCACATGCAGCTTTGAAGGCTAGATGTTTGCTTTGTTCGGGAAAAGAAGGTCCAGTTTCTCAGGAATCTGATAGATATATAGCTTGATTCCTGGCAATTTGACAGTGCAGAGCCTTTCGTCACTATCATTTCTTCTACAAAAATAACATGAACCAAAGAAAAAGTTGTCAGAATAAAGGCACTGAGTGGTGTACAATATCTCTTCACTCTACATGTTCTCTTTGCTTTTAATTCAGGGCTATTTGATCAGTAACCATTTGCCGAAGGAGGACCTTACTGATATTGCTTTATATAGCAGGCATTATTGCCTCTTACCCTTGGCAGCAGAGCAACGAATTAGTCAATTAGTAATATGGCGAGAAGTGTTTCCTCAGCACCATCTTCAGTCAAGTAAAAATTCGTGTGATGGATACAGAGAACCCGAAGCAAGATACTTTTTACTTATAATCGGCTTGGTAAGGTTTTCTGGGCATGTTTGTATCTTTTTAAAATATTGTGAAGACTGATAGAACACATGCTGTAAGGACGATAGTCTAAGGTTCTACAGGGGGTGAAAAGGACCTGCTGCTAAAAGTATCTTTTGTTACATAAAAATGTTTTGTTAGCAAATCTGCCATAGATTTTCTGATTTTGTTTATCTGATTGCAGTCCACAAAATAAGTGCTCCTGTCCTAGCATTTCACACAAATGCAGGTGCAAACTGTACATTACGGCCATGCTCACTTGAGATAATTGCAGCTGTGTAGTGCTTTAAATTTGGGCAGGCACATAAGAACTAAAATATGTGGATTATAGCTGAAATCTTGTATCAGGGCATAACTGGGAGAATCATTTTCATACATTTGGAAATAGCATATGTAACACTTTTTGCTTTAAAGGGACCAGGTTATTGGCCACAGGATTGTGGATACCCCATTCAAAACCTGAACACAAACAAATAACATTTATTGAAGAATGAGGGAAACAACAAATGTTGAACAACAGTTATAATGGCAGTTCCAAACTTAAGGCAAAAATTAGGGTTGCCAAGTCCCATCTTCTCCCTGGCGGGGGGATTTGAGAGGCGTTCCAGGAGGAGTCATCCCCAATGCGAGGATGTCATGCAGAGTGATGTTATTGTGTTGGGGACCCAGCACTGTGCACACAGGCCCCTGATCTTCCCCATCCATTCAAAGGGAACCTTCCCTTTAAACAGAAGGGAAAAAGGCGGGCGCCTGCCCTGCAAGGCATCTGGGGGGAGCCCCAAAAATCAGGGGATCCCCCACCCCCACCTGGGGACTGGCATCCCTAGCAAAAATAGAAGGAAGTCTTCTAGTCACTTGTCCTTACTGGATTGACAGCTCAGTCCAGAAGATTAAATGCCTCAGCTTCTTCTCTGGCTCTCTACCCCCCTTAGAGTTCTCCCCCTCCTTCTCCTGCCCTGTTGCCAGGCAAACCCTCACCCACCTCCTCTAGAGGGCAGTGTCTTTAGGCTAGGCCCATTATGCAGGTGAAAGCATGTTGCACAGTTTAAATAGTAAATAAACATATTTACAAGGCTTACGCATAAATTTAAAATCTCACAGTTATGGTGCTGGTCTCCTTAACTGAGAAGTACTTTTTTCCTCTTAAGCATAAATTAGGAAGATGCACATGGGGAGCTGTGTTAAAATGTATTGAGAAACATAGAATGAACTTACTGCCTCTTCTGCAGTTTGCATAATTGTCTTAATTAAATGACTGCAAGACTTTGGTCTTCAGGCATAATTAAGTCCAAAATAGTTTCTTATAGGACTGTTCAGCCCTGTAGAGTGGGCCAAGGTAAAAGATCATAACAAATGTAGACTCACTTGAGGCTTGTCTGGTGCCTGCCTTACTCTCATTTAGATATCAGCCAAAAACATTTCTTTTTACGTAAGCTCTTAACTGAGGGGTTCCATCTTGTCTTTATGGTTTCCTTCTAATTGAGGGCTGGCTTATGAAGGCTGCTGGGCATTGTTTTATGTGCTTTAATATCTTGGCTGTTTTATGGCTTGTTTTTATCCTTGTGGTTTGTATGATTTTATTGTACCATGAATTTTGTGAGCTGCCTTGCGCAGGGCTCTGAAGAAGTGGCATCTAAATTGTATAAATGCATACATTTTATTCTCCCATTACCTTTTTCTTGCAGAAGCACTTTATGCTGAGCGTCTTGCTAGAGGCAGGAGGCTGTTCTTCTAAAGCCATTGGAAAACCTGGGCCAGACTCCATCTATGTGGATCAAGTCAAAGCAACAATCCTTCAACTGGAGGGAATAGATCTCAGCATAGACGAGATATTAGAATCACCCTCTGCTCCACTGGTGTCCTCTGTGGACTGGTTCCTCCCCTCATCACGTGACAAACTGGAAAGCCTGGCCCCTTTGCCTCTCCTCAGCAAATGGCAAAATCCCTCACATTCTGTGATTTCACCAGCAAGCAAAAAAATGCTTTTTGGTGATTCTACCTTAAGAACACGTTTTACGAGTCCCTTACAGGGTAGTGGAGGATCCAGCAATGACGGTGACAATCCTGAAGGAGGAAGAGGGAATGTTAATCTGCATGCTGCACAATCAAAAAGTCCTGGTGGATTTGACAAAAGCAGTAGTCTTTTCAAGGTACTGTTGATTTTAAATCACCCACTAAACCTCTGTCCCTTATCCAGCAGCACTTCTTGAGGAGGAGGAGGAGGAGAGAAGAAATCAATTCATACTCAGAGTGCACCTTCCTAGTATTACTCCCTTTCAGTAAGCTGTGGCTGCAGTCCTAAGAACAGATTTCTGAAAGGTGGGACTTATTTCTGAGTAGAACTGCTTAGACTTACTGCCAGTGTTCCTTCTAAGCTGAGTTAGTGTGAGCTAGCTCACAGATTTTTGTCTTAGCTCAGGAAGGATGGCTTCAGAGCCATCTGAAACTAATTTATGCAGTAGCCAAATCACTCACTCACAACTTTAATGCCAGTAGCTCACAAAGTAGATTTTTTGCTCAGAAGACTCTACAGTTTAGAGGGAGCACTGCTTACTGCCTGTATTTCCAACTGATATGGCTAGCATGGCCAGGGTCCAACATACCTGAGGGACTGCCTTTCCCCATACATACCCCAGAGAGCACTATGGTCAGGGTCTCAGAAACGATTGACCCTCCCTGGTCCTAAGGAAGCCAGGCTTGCTACCACCAGGGCCAGGGCCTTTTCAGTGGCAGCTCCATACTGGTGGAATGAGCTCCTGGAAGAGATCAGGGCCCTGTGGGACCTTTCACAGTTCCGCAGGGCCTGCAAGACAGAGCTCTTCCACCAAGCTTTCAACTAGAAACCGCCCCCACTATCACCACCAACTCTCTGCTTTGATGGCCAGTTGTGTGAAGAACATCAAGAAACTGAAAACTTACAAAGTACGCCGCCTTGTATAAGTATAATTAGTGAAATATCGACAGCACTTATTAGTACTATTCTGATTTCGAATTGTTTTATGACGATTTTTACTTGTTATCTATATATTATGTAAAATGTTTTAATGAATGAAAGCCATCCTGAGCCTGCGTAGCGGGGAGGGCGGGGTATAAGTTGAATAATAAATTAATTAAATGGCTCTGTGGGATGGAGATCAGATACATTCTGGTTGGAAGGTTTTGGTGATAGTATAATCTGTTGCTTGTATGTCTTGAGAGCCCTTCTCACAGGACGAGGCCAGTAAATTATTCTGGTCTTGTCCAGTAGTTAAGGAATATTCAGCTGAGCTGTTATTCCTTCCATGTGTCTTCCAGCCCCCCCCACCACTTCCCCCGCAAAGATTTTTATGTGGTGTTCAGGCAAAAAAAAAAATGTTGAAAAATCCAAACTTGGCAATGCCTCTATTTCCTTACCGAGCAGCTAGACTACTAGTGCAGTCCTAAGCAGAATGACATCCTTCAGTGAGGAGGGTGTAAGTTTAGGATTTCACTGTAAAACATGGCAAGGATCAACTAACAAAAATTAAAAGTACAGTATGTGGATTTATGCTGAAATCGATATCCTGTTCCCATAAACAGTGCGAACTGATGTGTAATACTAACTGTGCCTAGGTTGGTTTTAAAAAAATAAAATAAGGAAACGGAGAAGCTTTCAAAAAATGATGTGACATGTCATTGAGCTGTTACAGCCCAGTGGATATTAGCAAAACGTGCCAGTTGTTCAAGCAGTCACTCTTAACTGTTAATTAAACATGAATCTTTGATTGCTTGCATTTTAAATGAAGTTATTCTGCTTGTTTTTTCAGATCACTAAAAAGAAAAATATTCTTCCAGGTCCATTTAATTTAGGAAGCCTGAAAAAGAACCTTTCAGTTAAGGAGACTGAATTGTACAACGTTATGAAGTAAGGAGTTGTTATTTTGTTGCTGTTGGTAGTGGCAGTGGTGCAGCCCTTTCCCTGTGTAACTAACCTTCCTGCCAGCTAAAAAGTAGTTTTTTATGGCCAGCCCCATACTGATTAACCTGGGAGTGAGGCAGATCAGAGTGGAGACTTCTCTTTTGTACTCCAGTGAAATCTGAATAAGAACCCAGTCTGAGTGAATAGGTCAGTGTACATTTTCCTTACTACTAATTAACTTTGGTCTGTGAATCTCCTTTGCTGGTTTTTATCATTTATTTATTTACAAAATTTGTATGCCATCTTTCTGCCCTTACAAGGGCCACCGAAATGGCTAACAATTTAAAAAAATACATAACACCATATTTTAAAATATTAAAATCAACCCTCCAAACACACATCAATAAAACAATTTAAAACAGAGTTAAAATACATACAAAACATAAAAACAGCAGGTAAAACATTGGTTAGGAAGGAGGGATTGCTTTTTGTTGGCTGCTGGTTGACAGCACCAGGAGGAAATTTTTATAGGTTTTATAACCTAGTCTTGTGGAAACTTGGGTGTTCACTTTGTTGTTTTTAATCGGTGCACAAATGTCATTTGAGGGAGTTTGTTCTTTTTGTTCTCATTGCCACAATTAAAGCTTGAGAACAGGACAGAGACCTTCATAAAAGATAAATGGGGGTCAGAAATACCTTTGGAGGTCTCTTTAAAATCCTTCAAGGGTTTGGGCTCATTCCATGCCAGTGGTGGTGGGCAGCATGAATGCTATCTGTCTTGAGGCTTTTTTTCTTCCCAGGTTATCCAGCATGTGGGCTGGACATTTCCATTATATCAGTTCAGTTCCATCAGATTGTCCCTGCCAGTGCTAGCGAAATGCATGGAATCTGAGAGCAATAAAGTTGTGGCCTGTTTCAACCAATTCCTGTGCTTCCTGCTCCCCATTGCAACTCCACAACAAACACAACAATACTTTGACTTCTCAGATGCCAAATCCTACTAAAATGACTTAACTTCAGCTAATCAGTGCTGCTTAGAGAGGCACTGCCAGCCTTTATAGTACATTAGGAAACATGTGTTACAGAATTCTGTAACATTTCCTTATTCCAATGTACTCTCATGGATTCCAATATGGATAGTATTGACCATTCTGATAGTTCAGTATTGTATTTTGAGTCACCTGTTTGTGTGTGTGTTTTTTAAAAGGAATCTATTTCTGATTTATTACATCCTCTATTTTTTCACAATAGTGCAGCAAATTTCTGTCTCATTCTTCCTAACTAGTGTTTGGGAAGAAGGCCTTATTGATTCTGGTAAAACCTGAGTCCAAATGAGTGTTTTTGTTATTAACCACATGCTACTAACTTAATCAAGCCACACATGTTGTCAAGCCCTTACCTGCCTGAATTAGCTTTCGAAACAAGAAAGCAGCTCTCTTTCCTGATGGCCAGTATAGACAGCTTTGGCTATGAACCACTGTATATATTTCATAGATATATAAACATATAGATATCTGGACTTGGTGGGCTAGATTATCTAGTAAGTGTTGTTCAGGTGTTTGTGTTTGTATATGTTCATTTCATGGACTTGCTATGGCCAATGGCTTCTTCAATGAAGAACTGTCTCTGTTCAGTATTAACGTTGTATACAAACAAGAAAAGCCATTGTAATTTCTTTTTCAATATCTTTGTTGGTTTGATTTGCAGAACGGGGGTGAATTTCACATTGGTTTAGAACCAGTGGGCAAGTAACGTCTTTCTTTTGCTCCTGAAGGTTGACATCTGGTCCTGAGAACACCCTATTCCACTATATTTCTCTAGAAACAATGCATGGAATTTTTATCACTCCAACACATACCGAAGTAGCGCAGCTTGGTGGAACTATCCATCCCCAGCTAATCAAGAACTTTCATCGCTGTTGTCTTTCCATCCGTTCCCTTTTTCAGAAAACCATGATGAGAGAAGTATAACCCATTATCTTTAATGACTTGGGGAGATTTTTCTGTTATTTTCTCTTTTTCTCTTTTTTCTCTTTTCTCTTTCAAGGCACGAATAAATGTCTGCATACTAGGCTTTAACTCATAAGCTGCTATTTGGAAGAATTTCTGTGTCTGGAGATGGTTAGCTCTTTTCAAAGAGAGCTGACAGCACTCCTGAAGAGCAGAGAAGCTTGGACTTTTTATATAACAATATTTAAATATTTGTATTACTTTGGCAAAATGCTTGCTTGATTATCTCTTTGTTTCCGTGACAGTCGTGTCAGTTTGTGCAGAGAGCTTACATTCTGTGTTGACTTAATGCATACCATATCTCCCATCTTTAGTCAAAAGCATTGTAGCACAACAGCTAGTATAGGGTATGAGAAGAGAAATCAGTTTATATACACTTCTCTTTCCTTCAAATATGATTCACATGGAGATATAAAAAACGGATCTGTCGTTATGCAACATTTTGAAATAACACAGATACTACCTTTTTGTATATACTAAAAAAACCGAATAACACAGGCAAAACATGGTTCAAGTAAAGTCCATCAGCGGCTGATTTTAGTAAGAAACTCTAGCTGGGAATGATAGTCTGGAAGTTTTCATCATTTGTCTCTGCTCTGCTTTGCCATATGCCTAACACTGTACTTCTGGCTGTAGCAAAGTCAGTCTGGGAGCAAACATCCAAGTGAAAAGGGAAGTAACTAGAGAGAGACTGGACCTCTGAGTCTAAAATTCTTTTTTAAAATGTATCTTTCACTATACATTTCAGAATGAAATTTTTGCTAATTATGGATTGTCACACACAGCAACAGCAATTTTTCTATCTCTTGCTCAAAGCACTAATTCCGGTTTCATTAACCACACATTTTGTCAATTTCATTACAGACTAAAAAGACTGCAGGTACTAGGAGAAGTTTAGAATCCAAAAAACCAAATTCTGGACTACATCAAGTAAGAGAACATGGAGTGTTGTTTGAATGTTCACCTGACAAGTGGACTGACCAAAAGAAACCAACACCACCTGTAATGTACTGGGTTATAGGGTAAGTGAGCTTTAATATGCCAAGCTGTTTTCCTGTAGACTTGTAATGCTATTCAAATCCTCAAATTCCTTTCTGTCCAAAATTTGTAAAGCAACATAAATGTTGTTCATGTGAGCAGATTCCCTATCCAAGGATCTCATCTAGGGTAACTCCTGTAACAGCTTGGACTGAAAATGTAGAAAAGGCTGAATTCAGGTGAGAGTAAATGTTTACCTAGGAAAGGATATTATGAAAGATCTCAAGGGGTGCTCTGGTATTTTGTCATGGATGTCCTGATGCATTGTTATTCCATTTTTCGGGGTTTTTTTTACTAAAACCTTGCAAAAATACAGACTGTTTTTACAATAGTCTAATGGTCTTGTTCTGACACTGAACTTTGTTTTTCTGCAGGAGACTCTTTCTAGATCCAAAGCCCCGGGAGTTTTATGTCTGTTTTCATGACTCTGTCACAGAGGTTGCTGTTGAGCTGGCTTTTAAGCTATCCTTTGGCTTAGCTCTGTAATAGTGTTCATCCATACAACTGTCATAAGCAGAACTGGAAACCTCCCAAGGCACTGGAGGTGCACAGATACAAGTTTATAGGAGTAAGCTGGGTGCTTGCTTTTTGAAGCTTTTCTCTGAAATAAACTTCCCTGGGGGTAAAAATATTTCAGGTCTTTACATTATTAACACCTGGATGTTTCAGCAGTCACCTTCTCAAAATGATGCTTTAAAAATCAGTCAGAGGTATTTATCTCAATTGTATCATAACTATATAGTGACAAATTGTACACATGAGGGCTGAGTTCAAGAACAGTATACGTCCATTACCCCTATGCATTCCCGCGTATGTCTTCAAATTTTCTTTTTGGAAGGTGCTCCTCTAGACCATGCAAGTTTAGTTTAAACTGTCTGCCAAGTTCAAAAAGCCATTTGTGGACACTGGGATGATTTCTAAAAATGAACCACCACAGAAAACTCAGTTGTGAGCTTGTCTGGACTTCAATCAAGGGAGTATATTGTAAGACTGAACAGATTATGTTGTGTAGAAGGCACTCTGTTTGACATATTTGGAGTTATTTTCCCTGACTTTACGGATTGAAAAAGGGCAAGAGCTACCTTGCATTAAAGGGCTATTATAACAATTGTAATAACAATTTTTTAAAATAAATAAAATGAAATGAAAAAAATAAAAATTGTTTTAAAGTAAAATTGATATTTTTGCAAATACTCTGTGTTAGACAAATATGAGGATGAGTTTACCGCGTTGTTTATGAAAACTGCATAAACTATTTTTTAAAGATTTTTATAATAAAGTCATATGTTTTCAAAACATTGAATGTACCTTTTGTGTTTTTGTATTCTTTTATTTTGGGGTGTCTGTCAGGCTATGATTTATCATGGGATACTAGTAATTAGAGAAGCAAAATATTCAAACTTTCCATATCTCATATTCATGTCACTTATGGATATTAATTTTGCATTAGAGATATGCTTTTGATCAACAAAGTTCATGGAGCCAGTGTTGTCAAACCTTAGCTGGCAGTGGCTGTTCAGAATATCAAGCACAGGACTTCTTTCTGACACAAGAGGAGCTAGAACTGCCAGTTATTGAACCCAAATCTCCATTATAAAGTATACTTACAAAACATACTCCCTTCATTCACTGGAAATAAGCATTTTTATTTTATTTAATTTTCGACATATACCGCTCGGACTCTGGAGGGTCTCTGAGCGGTTTACATATAGCTTTATACCTGACTAGGGCCACATTTTTGTATGGGGGGGTGATAACCTACCAGCACTCTGGCAGCGGGCTCAGTTGTTGTTCAGTTCCTGGCTCAGTTGTTGTTCAGTTCCTGGCGGGCTCTTCGGCGCTTCACCTCTTGGCGCCCAGAACAGGTCTTAATCCACGGCTCCTTCTGGTGGGCTTCATCCGGTGCTCGGCAACGCGCCAGCCGCAGCTCCGGCTCCGTCCCGCTGGCTCCACGATGCCACCGCACACCAAGACTCCGTCTCCATCCAGCCTCAGCCGCGCATGCTCGCTGGATCGCCAGGGTCATGCCACCGCTGCTACCGCTGCTCCTGCTGCACGTCCTCGTAAGGAGGAGGGGTGCCCCCTGCCACCTAGGGGCAGGTACCCATTTTATCTACTTTGTGTTTTTCTTACACGCTTTCGAACCGCTGGGTGGACGGGAGCTGGGACTAGGGCCGGGAGCTCACTCTGGCCACGGTGGGTCTCGAACAGCCGTAATGGCTGTTCGCTGTTGTTACAGCAGGCGTTTAACTGCCTGCGCCACCGCTCCCGGCAATAATACATACATAGGTGGAGAAGAGAGCATCAAAGGCTTTTCTGTAACCAAGTTTACATGAAATGGACTCCCTGTGCACTTACTACAACTAAAAGACTCATATTACAACATTGGAAAGATAAAAGCCTACCTCCAATAAATCAATGGATTAAGGACCTTAGAACTCTGTCCGTATTTGAATGCATGAAATATGAAGAATCAAGAAAACACTCTGAAAACCTGTATCAGACAATTGTGAATAATAAATTGTAATTAATAACACAACCTCTAATAGCTATAGTACTGCTTGAAACATGCACACAACCACAAACCGTAAGTGTAACAAATATCAATAGAAAAATTATAACACAAACAATAAAGCATTACAATATGACATCAATTTTATACAGGACATATTAGAAGTCCGAATTCTCCTGCCTTGACATCCTGATGTTTTAACATTCAGCTACTAATATAAAATTCTCTCACAGTGGTACTGAACACCAATTAAAATATCTCATGTCACACCCTCTGTACCATCTACATGTTGGAAATTGTGCAGGGAAATGGGGACCTACTTGCACAGCTGGTGGTCATGTAAAAATATTCAAAGCTTCTGGGTCCAAGTACTGTCACACATCAAATTATAAATGAGATCCCCTGAAGCTGCTGTTCTTAATCTCTGGGATGCTTAGAAAATATTAAGAGCTCGTAAAGAACTCATTTTGATAATGCTGGCTGTAGCTAAAAGCCTTATTGCCCAGTACTGGAAAAAAGAATGCCCCTCCCCCCACTATTGAACACTGCCATGCTAAACTGTGGGAATACTGTATTTTACATAAAGTTACAGACAGCATATCCAGAGCTAATGACACACTAAGAGTTGACCTGAGCGAAAAATGGCTCCCATTCCTGAAACATTTTGGGGGATATTTATCTCAAGACACCGCTATATGGAAAAATGAGTATTTCCCTCTTGTCTGCATCCATTCAGCTTTTTCTGTTATACAATTCCCATCTGTTATAATACACTGGTTAGTCTCTAATCTAGCCGACAAACTTTGTTCATATTAGATACTATTTCCCTCCTATACAGTTGCTTATGTGCTTCATCTTTGCCTAGGCTACATTGTCAGTGACATGATTTCCAGCATGAAGTGGAAGTAATGTCATCACGTCTGCAACATCCGGGCAACACTCTTGTATTTGGATAAAAACTCTATGGTAGAAGCCATTTTTACCATAGAGTTTTTGCCCAAATATTATACACATGCTGGAAGTGATGTGGCCACGTCACCTGGGCCTTCCTTCCGCTCCTAGTAAGTTCCCCCATCCCCCACCAGCAACCTTAGGAGGAACATTTATCCTGCTATTAGTGCTGGATTTGCAATATGAGACTGAAAACATTGCGAAAAACAGCAATCTTGTTTGTGAAAATTTTACTATTTTGATACCTAGCAGAGAGAAGAGGAGCAAAAAGACTATACTTCATCAGATTGGCCAGTTCAGTTTCTGTAATCATCTGTGTTTGCACAGCAAGAAGGGTATTAAACCATATTCTCCACACATCTTTTCATCCTTAACTTTAATGCAAAGGGGGTGCCTTGTATTGGCTGTATCAGAAAAAGAGGGAAAATCTGTTCAGCAGCATTTGCATTTCTTTTGCTTTTTTTTTTTTTGCTTTACATGAACTGGAAGCATGCTGCTTTTCAAAGTTCTCTTGCCATTCCATTTGCAGGAATTGTCACAAATTTTTGCTGTCATTTTTAGCACATAGTTATTGCATGAACGATTTCTGAAAATCCAGCTGCTCTTACAACTGAAGCTTTGTTCTTAAGGAATCAAAATGGCTTTGTATGTTTAAAACTCTATGGTTCACTATTATTCTATTGGATCAAAAGTTTAGGCCATGTGTATCTTCCTTCAGACTCTAGAAACATGGGCTTTTATTGTTTTTCTTCCCTTTCCCCCTTTTTTCCTAACACCCAACATGATTGCAAGGGTTGATTAACTTGAAGGTTTGCTTGCTGCTTTGTAACTTTTCAGCTGGTCTAATAAAAGTGCTAACCCATTGTATCTTTTGGCTTTTTTCCTTATAGACCAGCACAGCTGTCTACCTTTGTATTTTTGCACATTGCCAGTAATATGGCAGGACTCATGCCATTGCTAAATGTTTCCTCCATGAAAGAAAAGGAGCAATAGTAATTGAGCTAGGCTCTAGGTAATCAAGTTCCCTCCAAGGCAGTCCTGGAATGCTTTCTTCCAGAAGCTTAAGTCTATAATCTCTTCTGTAATACACCAGCAAAGTTGCATTTTTCCATGCGATGTGGCAGTCAGATACAGTGTTCCCTCTAAGCTGAGTTAGTGTGAGCTAGCTCACAGGTTTTTAGCCTCCGGCTCACAGATTTTTGTCTTAGCTAAGGAAGGATGGCTCCAGAGCAAACTAATTTATGCAGCAGCCAAATTGCTCGCTCATAAGTTTAATGTCAGGAGCTCACCAAGTAGAATTTTTGCTCACAGGACTCCACAGCTTAGAGGGAGCCTTGGACTCAGATAAATGCTGAGCACCTGTTTTTTTGTGGGTTTTTTATTAGAGCAGCTGTGCTCTGTAGTGCCTATGACTGTTCAGGAAGATCTCACTCCAGTTTGCAGTTGCTTCTTTCTGGGCCTTAACTAGCTATGGCTTTAGCATCACCACTTTTCCCTCCACCTCTAGAGGTCCTAGAATTTTCTTTGAAAAGCCATGCCCAGGGAAGCTGCTGTGATTGGGCATTTAAAGGTCATGTGGCCTGAGGAGGCATGCTGGTTCTTTGTGAGGGGAGGGGGGAATTCACCAGTTCCTTCTGAGCAGTGGCAGTTAGAAGTGTTGCAGGGTGCTAGGTGATGCTGCTAGGAGGGTCTAGTTCCACTGAAGGCTTTGCGGTTACCCAATTGACAACATGCAGGCCGCTGCAGAGGAATCACAATTTTTTGACCCTGTCGCTTTTGGAAAGGACCTCATGGCAGGGGGTGTGGCAGCTGCAGTATCCAAGACAACAGTAGCACCCGTTGAGCGTGTGAAGCTGCTGCTGCAGGTCCAGGCCTCATCCAAGCAGATCCGTGTTGACCAGCAATACAAAGGCATGATAGACTGCTTTGTGCGCATCCCTAGGGAGCAAGGTATGTCTTCACTGAAAGCAAGAGATGTGGTGATGTAGAGACTCAGACTGTAAACTGCAAATCTGGGGGTCCTTAGATTAGATCCCATCACTTCCAAGAATTAGTAGGTAGATTTAGGAAGGCCTCTTTTGTCCCAGCCCCACATCTGCAATATGGGAATAATAATACTGGCCTGCTAGGCAGGGATGTTGTGGGGGTTACTAAGAAATACTAAGAAAGAATGCACTTTGAACACTTAGCATTACACACCTTTGTTATTTCCATTCCCAAACTTATGTATACCGCCAAACAATATCCCATACTTTTCCAGCTTTTTCTTCTTTTAGAAATGCTTTCTAATGCTATCCTCAACAAGTCATGATTTCCTGCTTGACAATTCCCATTTGTCCCCCTTTTCAACTTCCAGTCAGATGGTCCAGAGAATGTAGAGTACATCCCCCTTTCTATGGCTGTTTCAGACCCTACATCTTCCTCCACCAGTTCTTCCAATCTACACATATAAATTTGTCAGATTACATGCCGCTTCACTAGTACTTCCTCTTTTGTGTTTTTCAACTGAAACTTCAGTTCTGCAGTAAGCAGAAATTCTCCCTGCATGTCATGCTTTCTCCCTCAAGGGGGCTGTGTAATTTCTTAATGGACTTCTTACCTGTGTCTGGTTCCCCTTCCTGCCTTTCAGCAAATAAAGCTATAATCCTCTGTGTATGTACTTGGGAATAAACACCACAGAACTCAATGGTATGCATGTATGGGCTCTGTTGCATGTGTGTAGAATATAAAGCAGCAGCTATAGATTAAAAGATGAATGCAGTGATAATTTTGACCTACCAACATCTCTAACCAGCAGAAACAGTTCATGGTACTACCAGAATTACCTGATTTGGCCATTTTGATACTATGAACCCCTCGTTCACATAACCTGAAACATTTGGCCCCCTTCTGGAGTACTTTTCATGATAGAATATGTTCTTCCTGATTGAAGATCACTAAATTTGGTATTTCAAGCAACAGATATAGTTCAGGTGATTTATTTAAAGATATTGAAGTTCAAAGGTGTAGCTATGTCTCAAAACAACGATGTCTTGTGGCTAGGGCTGGCAACTGCCTGGAGAAAAAATGTCCTGTCCCTTCAATAGACGCTTAATGGGCTGTTATTTACCAGGTGATGTTTACCTCCACACTAAGAAAAGGTTTAGCTGCCAATTCCAAAACATTAAGCCTCTTTTAAAAGAACAGGACATTTTTTTTCTCCAGGCTCCTGGCAATCCTACATGGTATCTTAAAAGGTAACTATTGTGACATCTGACAAAGTAGGCAATGATTCATGCAAATTAATGCACAATGAATTTGCTTTGACTTGGAGGTGCCATAAGGTGCTTTATTGTTTAACTAGAATGGCATAACATTTGGGCAGTCCATAATTTATTATGTTCTATATCATTATACTGTATAGTTTTCATAAAATATCAGTACAAATATACCTGCTTGTATCAGACATTGAAAGAAGGATGCCTTTCATTAGTTATGTTGAAGTAGAATGGATTGATACTTTCCCACAGGAAAATATGGGTTCATGTTTTAACAAATGTTTGCACTGGATACTGTCACATCCTGTCCCACTTTGATCTCTTCTCTACTAATTCTAAATTCAGCCTGTCTTATAAAATAATAGTGCTGACCTCTTTGCATCAAGTTTATGTCATTATTCCAGTCATTATTTCTTGCTTTCTCTTCCCCATGAACTCTTCTTTACCTTACAAGCCTTTCAGCTCTTGTTACATTCCTGTGATGGGACCTTAGTTTGTGAGGGCTCCAATATGTCCATTGCCCCTTTGTTCAACTTTACCTATTATCTCATGCTGCTGTTAACAGCAAATCCGTGAACTACACAAACACACACATAGCTTGTCTGCTTGTCAACCCTTTAAATCTTTCCTCAAAGCCTGCTTTTCCTCCAGACAGCCTTCACTCCTACTACCTCTCTGCCATATTTTCCTCAAATTAGTCCTCCATAAGTTTTCACTTAGTAAGGTACTACTAACACTCCATACTGCCTTCTCCTTAACAGCTCAATCATCAACATGTCTAAATGGATAATGCTGTGTCCAATGTAAAGTTTATGATGATGAAAAACTAGTTGCATGTATGCTTTCAATGTCTACTATAACCTAGGCCACCTCTCCTTATTCAAAGGGTCTTAGCACCCCCTCTGCTGGTCTATCTTAGACAGCCATCAAGTGCAGATAGTTGATGTTTTTATGTCACAGTGGGATCACAGTAATCTCTTTTTACTATTTATTTCATCTTCTGGCATTACTAGCACCCAGCACACCAGAATGAGTTTCCTGCCAACAGCTGCTTTCTTAGTGTCCATGAATCAGTCCAGGAATTTGTTTTATACCAGCCATTGCCAATTATGGGGAAGTTATACAGACAAATAATGTGTGGCTCAAGTGGTTAAGATGCTGAACTGCAGGCTGGAAGGTCAGTAGTTCAGCAGTTCGAGACCCGAGTGCCGCATGACGGAGTGAGCTCCCATCTCTGGTTCCAGCTCCTGCCAACCTAGCAGTTCGAAAGCAAGAAACTGCAAGTAGATAAATAGGTACTGCTTCAGTGGGACGGTAACAGCGTTCTGTGCGCCTTGGTATTTAGTCATGCCGGCCATATGACCACAGAAACATTTTCGAACAGCACTGGCTCTTCGGCTTGGAAATGGAGATGAGCACCGCAACCCTAGAGTCAGATTCGACTGGCTTTCGAGCAAGGGAAACCTTTACCTTTACTAATGAGGGGGAAATCTACAGTATATCTATCAAATAGTTCAATCTAGCCATATCTTTCCTAAACTAAAAAGTCATAAAATTGTAGCATGCCTCGTGGCACTGTATATCTAGTAGTGATAGGAACACTGGTTTAGACCCAATGGTCTTCTGCTCACAGATGATACTTCTGCTCACAGAAGAAAAGGTATCCAGTTTGAGTGCATTGATCTCTTCAGGGGCAGCATCCCCATCCTATATCCCAGCAGTTTCTGCAGGCCCAGGGTCTTCAGGAGAGGTTTTCAAGAGCGCAGAAGGCTAAAATAGAAAAGTGGAAAGAGCAGAATACTTTGAATCTGATACAGATTAAAATCAACAGTCACCTGTTGTCTCCAGAGAACTAGCCCTAAGATCTCTTCATCCGTGCTAATAATAGTTAAGGATCTATTCACAAAGCAAAACTAGGTGCATAAAGAGTATTTGGTCCATGAGCCAGTGTGATGTATTCAGCAAAGTGTCAGACTAGGATCTGGGAGACCCAGGTTCAGATCCCCACTCTGCCATGGAAGCTTGCTGGGTGACCTGGGGCCAGTCACACACTCTCAGCCTAACCTACCTCACAGTGTTATTGTGGGAATAAAATGGCAAAGAGGAGAGCACTGTAAGCCACTTTGGGATTCCTCAGTAGGGAGAAAGGTGGGTTATAAATGGGGTACAGTAAATAAAATAAATAAGTGAATGTGTATAAGATTGGCCACTAGTGATATAATCTTGGACTTGCTTCACTAGCCACCAAAACTGCAATTCAGCCCCCATGGAAGTGATTCTAATCCAACACCCAGCCATTATTACAATTTAATTATGAATTGGGCTATACAACTTTAACCTACCATTTTATTCCTTTCTCTTTTACTGCTATGAGATCTTTAACAAAAATCCACTTTAGTATTTCTTAATATACTTTGCAAGAATATTTTCCAAAATGCTGTTGAGATTTGCATGGTGAATGCTAAAAGCTGCACCGTTGGTTAGGAGTAATTGATAACCCCCAAGCTACTAGTACTGTATTATGGTTGGTATTAACTAGGGTTGCAAGATCCTTCCCCTGGCCACCCGTAGGGGATAGGGGGTTAGGGATGCCAGTTCCATATTGGAAAACTCCTGGAGATATGGGGATGGAGCCTGGGGAGGACAGAGGCCTCAGTGGGGTACCACCCTGCAAAGCATCCATTTTCTCCAAGGGAACTGATCCTTGTAGTCTAGAGATGAGCTGCAATTCTGGGGGATCCCAGAGTCCCACCTGGAGGCTGGCATCCCTCCTTACAAACCATTTTGGGGCCACTGGAAAAGTTCTGAAGTAAAGAGCACAACTGTCTGTCCTATAACTACAAAAGAAAGATGTTGTCACAAGCAACCCAAAGTATACTCTCTCCTAAAAGGGGAAGTTTGCCATTTAAGAGCTTTGCTGCCATTGCAGTTGTGTGATGGTTAATACCTGAAATACTGTATATTTTTGAAGTCAGCTGTCAGGAAAAGAATTAAGGAGTGGTAAAGTTCTTCAGCCAACTGAAATAATAACCATGTTGCCTTGAAATATACAGCACTTAAGATAACACAAACTGTACATTTTTAATCTGTCTGTAGGATTTCTCAGCTTCTGGCGTGGCAATCTTGCCAATGTTATCCGGTATTTCCCTACGCAGGCCTTAAACTTCGCTTTTAAGGACAAATACAAGCAGATTTTCATGGCCGGTGTAGATAAAGATAAACAGGTAAATGTGTTCTGATATCTAATTCAGAAAAGGCTTCACACATAGCCCTCCCCTGGCTGAAATGGGATTATTGATGCATTTTATTAGTACACTAGGAGTAAGGCTCATTGTGGGAAGAAATACAACGAGCTGTGGAAGGAAGTTCCAGGTGAGTGTCCTGACTGTGGCTGGTGGGGTGGGAGAGGGAAGGGGAAACTAGAGGGAGGCAAGCCATGTTTATTTCCTTCTGCTTAGCTATAAGGCAGGGCTGTCTCAAGTCACTTTACTGCCCCAAGTGGGTAGTATGGGAGGACAGCCTCATGGTAACACGTATGGTTCCCTCCACCCCTGACTTATGTTGATTTGGGGTTATGCAGTGGCAGCTAAGGTAGAAAAGCACCTCCTCCTATGCCGTGTCTTCTGGGTTCCAAGGGTCTGGAAAGCGGTTCCATAGCCAGTTACAGAGCTGCCAACTCTGAGTTGGGAAATACCTGTAGATTTGAGGGGTAGAGCCTGGGGAGGGCAGGGTTTGGGGTGCAGAGGCACCTCAGCAGGGTATAATTCCATAGAATTATTGCCCAAAGGAGCCATTTTGTCCAGGAGAACTGATCTTAGATATCTCCAGTTACTGCCTGGAGACTGGCAATACTAAGGGGAGGGCCAGACCTGTAGATCTATGGGGTAGAGCCTGGGGAGGGCAGGGTTTGGAGTGCGGAGGGACCTCAGCAGGGTATAATTACATAGAGTCCATTGCCCAAAACAGCCATTTTCTCCAGGAGAACTGATCTTGGAGATCTCCAGGTGCTGCCTGGAGGCTGGCAATACTAAGGGGAGGGCCAGACCTGTAGATTTGAGGGGTAGAACCTGGGGAGGGCAGGGTTTGGGGTGTGGAGGGACTTCAGCAGGGTATAATGCCATAGAGTCCGTTGCCCAAAGCAGTCATTGTAGTAGCTGGGAAATTTTCTGTAGGGGAAATGATGTGCTGTGGCTGAGGAACACGGTGATTTCTGGGAGATCTCCAGACCCACAGGGAGATTGGCAACTCCAGTGACCGTTTAAGGGAAGATTCGGATATGTATTTTGGCAACTCCAGTGACCGTTTAAGGGAAAATTGGGATATGTATTTTACCTCAGGACACATTCAATGACTCGCAAGAACAAACTGTTTAGAATGTTAGAGGCAAAGGCTAATCAGGCCCCATATGCAGATGACCTCTGTGTTCCAAGTGGCTATTGGGGGGAGAGGAACAGAAAACTGTTTAGAATATTGGAGGCGAGACTCTGGCAACGCAGCCAGTGGATAGGGACAGCTTCTGAGTGACAGATCAGGGAGCGAACTGATTTGGGTGTGTGTGGAATATTCAGGAGAGTCCATGACCAAAACAGAATTATATATAAGGAGAGATTTCAGTAGGCAGCATCTTTGCATAAAGATGCATAGCATCTGGAATGGGAGTTTAATTTTAACCAAGTAGTGCTAAGATCTATTGTATGACATGCCTCTGGAGTTTTTACCAATACACAAAAATTTAAACCAAGATGAATAGATAAAACATGGATCCTCTTATTAATTGGAGCAACCCAGTTGCAGCATTTCCCTGATGCAGGTAGCTGTTCAGACAGGTTGTGTGGGATGCACAAGGTCTCCCAGGGCTGTAGATAGTTGGTAAGGTATATCTGGCAACCGAACCAAAGCTTCTAACAGATGTGTCACCAGTTAATTCCTTTTCCATCTGTAAATGCTTAAAACCAACATCTTTCCCAAAGACTTTTTATGAGTCTTGGGCAGGGGTGGTAACCTTTTTGGCCCAGGTGTCCTCCTGTGAAGATGTTGGTGTGCTGGCAAACAGAAAGGGCAGCTACACATTCCTGGAACAAGCTGAGGCTGAGCAGCACTGCCAGAGCTTGGCCCTGAGTGCTGAACATAGGATCATGGCATGCCACTGTTTGGTACATGTATACTCGTGGAAAGCACTGTCAAGTCATAGCCAACTTATGGCAACCCCTCATGGGGTTTTCTACGCAACAGGCATTTGGAGGTGGTTTGCTGTTGCCTGCCTCTGTGTGGTGACCCTGGATTTGCTTAGTGGTCTCCCATCCAAATACTACCTAGGGCCAACCCTGCTTAGCTTCCGAGATCGGATGAGATCAGGCTAGCCTGGACTATCTGGGTCAGAGCGTAAAAAGGTAAAGGTTCCCTTGCTCGAAAGCCAGTCGAATTCGACTCTAGGGTTGCGGTGCTAATCTCCGTTTCAAAGCCGAAGAGCCAGCGCTGTCCGAAGATGTTTCCGTGGTCATGTGGCCGGCATGACTAAACACCAAGGCGCACGAAACGCTGTTACCTTCCCACCGAAGTGGTACCTATTTATCTATTTCCAATTTCTTGCTTTCGAACTGCTAGGTTGGCAGGAGCGTACATGTATACAAATATAGGGGTTGCCTATTCCTAGTCTTGGGCTTCCTCCTCCTCCAAAAAAAAATCCTGAAAAGGAAGCATTTAAGGGCAAGTCATATTTAACGATGTGTTTTTAACTGCAAATTCCTCGATCTGATTAAAGCTAATATTGTCTAGTCGATCAAAACCAAATGGAACAAAACAGTTGCAACTAACTCATTGAGGGCCAAATTAAAGCTGGGAGTTCCATGTTAGGACCTTTTAGCATTTTCAAAAAAGTCTCACCAGGTGGTAGGCAGGGGGTCTGGTTAAGATTGGAACCCTGGGGTGGGGGTGGGGAGTTAAGCCCCAGTTTCATGATGGCCCATGGAGCTATTTGCCTGTTCTAAAAAAATGTTTGTCTACAAGGTGCAAGGTAGACAAGATGTCGAAATTTCCATGTATGGAGCACCAGCACATGGCTCCCCCTAGTCCAATCAGGTTTGAGCCTCCCTCCATGTGTTTCTCCAACATGAAATGGTGCCGTGGAGCTGTCTGCCCCATGAGGAAAAGCAAAGCTCCATGGAGGTGTGTTTCAGGATCACAAAAAGGCCCAGAGAGAGGTTTAGTGCCTTTTTGTAGTCCCAAGTCCAAATCTGATTCCCACACATCCAGCCATATGAAAGGAAAAAAACTGCCAGGGAGCTCATTCATAGAACATCTTGTCTGACTTAGCTCTTAGGGTCAAAGCAGAGAAGACATGAGGATATTTGCGAGTGGATGTTTCCAGGGTTAAAGCAACAGTCCAGCCACACAGAACAAGCACTCTAACTGTCCTACTTGCAGTACAAAAGCAAAACATCATCTTGCAGAGTTGTTGATCCCACAACAACCAGAGCCAGACTGAGGCTATTTATAGGAGCTAGTGCCTGCAGCTGTAGCAGTGGCCAAAAGTCTACAAGCGCTTTTATAGCAGGACCCTGTCCAGCATCCTGTGAACCCTCTCCTGCCTCCTCCTCTCCTGGGATTTCAGGGCTGGCGGTAGGGTCTCTGGCAGTGAGGGATCTCCTCAGTGGGTTCCTGAGCAGTCCCAGTCTCTGATCCTGGTTTCTGCTAATGGGCCATCTGGGTTTCTGCCCCAGCAGCCACAGCTCGCTGAGTCCCTGATGGCCTCTGGGAGTAAGAGGGCCCAGGAACCTCAGGATGGGCCAGGGTTTTGATCTCCATGGAATCATCCATGAGATGGGGGGGATGTGGAGCCTGGGGAGGGATCTCAGCAGGGTATAATGCCATCGAGCACACCATTGAAACCAGTCACTTTCTCCAGGGAAACTCATATCTGTAGTCTGGACATCAGCTCTGTAATTCTGGGAGATTTCCAGGCCCTGGCTGGAGGCTGGCAACCCTAGCCACTATGGCACCTTTCTCTACCAACAAGGACTTATTAGGTGCAACCCTGACAGTAAGCACCCTTCCTCTCAAGGCAGCACTTTTGTCATGATCAGTCTCTCAGGTAGTTCCAATGTATTTGACAAAGCGTGCATGAACATGAAATCTCATACCTTGAATAAACCTTTGTTGGTCTGAAAGGTGCCACTGGGCTCTAAATCTCTCAGGTATTCATGAAACATAATATAGGCTGCATCCTTACACTGTACCAATCATTTGCAAACGGATTGGCTTGTCCCACACAGAAAAATGAAGTTGTGAATTATTGCTAGAACACAATGGTAGTGCAGTATCCAACTATGTACCAGTGCAGCCAGAAAAAAGAACCCTTGCTTTTAAGTTCAGAAGATTTTACACCTTTCTCAATTAAATAACAAGCTTTAAGTTGTCCTTATGACTTTTGAGGTCCCTGCCATACTCATAATGCTAGTAGCTTAAGCGAGAAATGTTCAAGACACTTGAAGAATAGGCGTGGACTTTGAAGCACTTGGGAGGGGGTTAAAAGCCCAGTGATTTCTTTCACCAGATTTTTTCCTGTTCTAAAACAAAAGCTCCTATTCTTTAACTGAACAAGCAACAAATAAAATAGTGGATAAGAAGTTTAAGCATGTTGTTAGCCCAAAACTGGAACATTACTATCAGGGTCTACGTTTCATTTGCTTAATTTTTAACTAAGCCCCATTTTTCTGTTTCAGTTTGGGAAGTGGTTTCTTTTAAACTTGGCTTCTGGTGGGGCAGCTGGAGCAACTTCTTTGTGCGTTGTTTATCCATTAGATTTTGCACGAACTCGGTTAGGTGCGGATATTGGGAAAGGTAGGTGTGGTATATTTATTGTGTGTATGTATGTATGTAAGTAATGGAACAGTCTGCTCCTCCCCTAATATCTGTGTGATTTAGTTTGGTCCTATTGAGTGGAGCTCTCATTTCAGTCTCCAGTTTTGTGTGTTAGCTGAAGTTGTTGATTGTTGGAATTGTCTCCTTGCAAATAAACGGCTGATATTTTGAGCTTTCTCATCTCTGGTGAATGGACCTGAGAATGGGTGCCTGAGTGAATGCTCTAACCTAGGAACCCACAGCCAAAGGGGGACATTACAGCAGGAACTATAGCTTCATATTTAAGGGAGTGTAAAGGTAGGTAGTTATCTGTGTGTTGAGAAGGGGACAACGCCCATATTGCTTCCTTCAGGTGGGAGAAGTGCTCCTGCCAAGCACTCCAGCTTGAATCCTAAGCAGCATGAGCACAGTCACGCTAAAAGAAGGCAACCTCCCCAACTAGGGCCTACTTTGTCCCCAAAATTGTGCTCCTGCAGGTCAGCAATTCCCTGGAGAACAGTGAGGTGGGAGCAAAGTGATAGGCAGCAGTGAAAGGGTAGAATCAGCAGCAATTTACAATACAGGCAGAATTGCTGATATGCCAACAGAACTTTGTGTGTGTGTGTGTGAGCCCACTTCTTGTTCTTGTCTATGCACTGAATTTGCATAGTTGCACCATTCACAGATACTATGGTCTCCATGGATTTCACTGGGAAAACAACTGAAGTCAGTGGGACTTAACAGTGCTAAACTTGAGTTCAGTTATGCCAAGTGATTCCACAATGTTGGTTCTACTCTACTGGCAAATACCAGTAGGTTATGGCAATTTTGTAAGATTCTGAAAAGGCAAAACATCTGACTAGAAGGAATTCTGAGATGGAGGAATATTGTTGCTAGACCAAGATATATACAGGCATATCTCACTTTGTGAATCCCATAATAAACATGTTAGGAATGTCCCTACAGTTAGCTTTCCATAAATGTTTTTAAATTGGATTTTCCTAATCTGGTATGCATATAAAGTAACATTTTCCTCAGCTTTGTTGAACCCATCGCTGAACAAAGAAGCAGCTGTACAAGGGTCACTTTTTATATATCTTTCTGATATTTGTCCATGATGGGGGGGGGGGGAGAGATGGTTCCCTTGTTTAAGCTTTGTTTGTTGTTTTGCAACTTATCACAAATCGCAGTGCTACCCTATTGCCCTGAATCAACCTGATCTTTTCTTCCACCATGTTAGGTCCTGAAGAACGACAGTTCAAAGGTCTTGGTGACTGTCTTCTTAAAATTGTAAAGACAGATGGGCCTCGTGGCCTATACCAAGGATTTGGTGTTTCAGTACAAGGAATAATTGTGTACCGGGCATCCTATTTTGGATGTTATGACACCATAAAAGTAAGTTTCCCTTTCAAAAATTACACTTTTGCAAAACACCTTTGTGGGTTATTTATATGCCCATATTTATTGAGCAGTGAAGTATTTATTACATGCACTTTCAGAACTGCTGTGTTGTTTCTGGCACTATTTATCCTGTTTCACAAATCATGAAGTGTATCTCAGAGATCTTCCCAAAGCTCCTCAGTGGTTTAGAGTAATGCAGATCTTACTGACAACTGCTGCTATAAATGTATACACTCCAGTCCAGTAATTTCTGAGACTGAATTCCGTTGCATGTATGAAGATTCCTTGCTTTCAGGAAGCAGTTCAGCACATACATTATGTTGCAAGCAGACGTTCATTTCCCCTACTGAATTGTGGTATAGCCTTCCTTTCAAGACCTGTGTAGTGTTAGCTAGAGTGTGTGCAGGTTCCAGTCTGGCATTTTTGTTTATAGAGCAATCATTTATTTATTCTTACTGAGGACCTGTGCAGTTCTCATTTTTGAGTAAGGGAACTGAGGCTCAGAGACAGAACGAACAACTGATTCAAAGCCAGTGAGTTCATGGCAGAACAGCTCTTATGGAATCCAATATATAATACTCCATCACTAGACCAGGGATGGACAACTTATGTCACTGCCCTTCCCTCACGCTGTTTTCCCAAGCTGAAATTGTGCCAGAGGGGACAATTTGCCCTGTTCTACATGCAGCCCCCTGATGGGGCAAATTACACTCCCCATATCTGTTTCGGCTCAGAAAAATGACACAGATGGAAAAGCGGGAGTCCCTCCTCCCCCTGTGCCTCATTCCCAATCAGAATCAGGCCTCTGCAATGCTTCTAAATGGAGGTACTGCTGGGAAATTGCAGCTGCAGTGTGACTTCTAGTCTCCATGGCAAATGCATATAATTTGTAAGATGTAGGTTGGCCCTCAGCTACAAGGTCTTATAGCAGCAGGCTGGTATTCCAATCCCCTCCCCTCCTGGACCTAAGATTATTTAAAATTATGGGTTACCTCGTAAAGAAGCATGTAACAATATTTTGTGTTGCAAACATTACTAAACAATGCCCAAGGATGATTAAGAGGAGAACCAACAAAATTTACTTAACACTGTGTAACTCTTATTACAGCTGAACGCAAAGCACCTTTTGTCCTTCTTTCAGTTCTCTAGTGCTCCCCATTAATGCTTTCTTCCCTGAACCCACTCATGAAACACTTCACTTCCTCCTATCATTATATACATGCTGAGATGGTATGAATTATGGCCGTCACAACTTGAACCGAAAAGTGTCCTGACCCTGTAACAGAGGTTTAACAAGGTGCTATTTACCAGGTGATGTTACCTACCTCAATGCCATGCGCTTTAACTGCTCATTTCCACACATTCAAGGGGCAGGGCATTTTTTCCTGCAGGCTGTTGACAACCCTACTTGTGGCATCTTAAAAGTGACAACCACTTTTTATGGTATCTAGCTAAATAACATCACCTGATAGTTGCTGCAGATCACACTGATATGAAACTGGCAGTTGGAGTAATCAGTGTAAAAGTTGGCAACTCTATAAGCCACTTGTCAGCCATACCAACACTAGACCACATTGGCTCTGATTGGTAATGTTAATTGCTTAAAACACTGTTTTCTTTTAGTTTGCCTGCCACTTACCATGCACAAGGAAAAAGGGGAAAACAATTTTCTTTAATTATGTTGTTTATATAAAGTACAAAATAATCCAGAATTGTCTGTCCAGTAGCAATGCGACAGTTTGAAACCACTAGTTTTTATGTTTATATTCTCAGATGATTTCTTATTTCTCTCCTTTCAATTAGGGATTATTGCCAAATCCAAAGCAGACTCCATTCCTTCTGTCTTTTGCAATTGCTCAATTCGTGACGACATGTTCTGGGATACTGTCATACCCCTTTGACACTGTCAGGAGACGCATGATGATGCAGGTATACAACGTATACTTAGTGAGACTTGCTTTATATGATTGTCAGAGCTAATACACTGGTTGTGTTTTGATCCTTCTTGGCCCATCGTTTATCTCTCCATCTCAAATTCTTTCCCCCAAATAAACAAACATTGGCTTGAGTCCTGCCTAAAATTTCTGCTTGCTGAAGGATTTCCATCTGCAGATGCCGCCCAAATGCTCCTCCAGTGGGCCTCCACAGGAACAGCATGAGGGTGCACGTTTGCTGGTGGGGGGGAGGGGAGAGAACCATGGGAAATCTTCTTCCTTCAGCAGAAATCTTCTTTGGGATCCAACCAAGTATTTAATGGTGTTTAGAAACCTGCATGCGAATGTTCAACAGAAATGATCATCCAAAACAGGGCCACAACAGTTTGTGAGTTTCAGTGCATATTATCCATAAGATACCAATTGCCAGCGCTTTGCTTATATTATTTCAGCTTGGAGAATGCCATTCCTATCAAATAATATGGTTTATTGACAAACTCTGATTAAGACATTCATGGGAGGGAAGGCAGCATGGTGTAGACTGCTCTTGTCAGACTTTGGAAGCTAAGCAAAGTCCATACTTGGAAGGAGACCACCAAGGAAGACTCTGCAGAGGAAGGCAATGGCAAACCACATCTGCTTCTCACATGCCTTGAAAACTCCGTGTTGAGGTCACCATAAGTCAGCTGCAACTTATTGGCACTTTACACACACACAAAGAGATTTATGCAATTTACTAGTGAGGGGGAAGTCCCTAGTTTAAAGTACCTGCGCTTGGTGAAGAAATTTCCTCTGATCTCCTATTGATGTCTTCCAAGGACCTCAGTGTGCATACTACCCTTCCACAACAACGCTGTGAAGTTGTTAGGCCAAGGAAGAGTGACTGGTCTGGGTAGGTTTGCTAAGTCCAGGTTGGGAAATTCCTGGAGATTTGGGAGAGGAGCCTGGTGAGGATGGGGTTAGGGGAGGGGAAGGACCTCAATGGCATATAATGCCACAGAGTTTACCCTCCAAAGCAACCATTTTCTCCAGGGGAGCTGATCACTGTCGTCCAAAGATCTGCTGTAATTCTTGGAGTTCAACAGCAACAACAACAATTTTATTTTACCGTCAATGACCAGCAAATACAAACGTTTACAATTCTGGGAGTTCTCCACGCCCCACCTGGAGGTTAGTCACCTGAGGCACCAAATGAGCTCTATGGCAGAACAGGGGTTTGAACTGGGTCTTAGCAGTTTTAGTGTGACACTCTAACCATTACAACACACAGGCTGTCATATTGACACTGATAAGATTGGCATTAACTTCCAGATAGTTTAATAGGTCCACTCGTACCAGTTTCAAAGTGAAAGATGGCCAGCTCATGAACCACTGCAGTATATATTTCCATTGTATTAGTAAGCTTCCTTCCTTCTGAGCGTTTTTTTAAATGTTTGAGATTTGTAAAGAGGAAGTACATCTACTGGAACACAGAACAAACAAAAATCTTCTCCCAGATTTGTGTTCAGTAGTATTGATCCATTCCTATATTTGGAGGATGAAAATATATTAAAAATAACAGGTTGGATGGATCTTGTGGAAGGGATTTTTATCAGCAGAATGGGACTTCCTCTCCTCCCCAATCTTGCTGCAGTCCAAAGAACTTCCTGAACTGTGGCTCATGGGGGATAGGGGATCCCCAGGAACAGCATGAGGGGTGCATTTGCAGTAGAAGAAGCATTCAGCACAACCCCCCCCCCCAAAAAAAAAAACCGGAAAAAACCCTTGCTCCTGTAAATGGAAATCTACTATTAGATCCAACCCATTCTCCCCGGTTTTTAGAATCTCCAAAATATCCTCTCAAAAGTTGTATTTACTGAAATTGTAGACTCTTCTCCATGTACCTTTAGTGCAAATCCTTTTTTAAAAAATCCATAAATATTTAGAAAACCCTAGCCCCAACTTTTGGAAAATCTAAAATAAAAATCTCCCAGGTTTCAACCTACACTGAAAACCTCTACTGTGGTTTGATGAAGATTCGCTGAAGAACAACGTTCCAAAAACATGCTGCAGACTTTATCCAAGTATCAGCGAGCTTCAGAACACCCCGAGGACCGAAGTGACCTCATTTAACTCTGAAGCTTAAATGAAACATCACAAGAAGATCATAGACTTGCTAAATTTAGCTGCAAAGATGGGCATTAGGGAAGTATTTATTCAGTAAGGTTCTTATACTGAAATGGGGGGGGGATAAAGAGAGAGGTGTTTGTTCTTAGACTTTTAAAAAATGCTCAATGCTATAAAACCCTTGCTGGGAGTTGAGTGGGTATATTGCCCATTAATGTCATGGTGTCTAAATCTCTTTGAATGCAGAGTGGTGAGACTGAGCGTCAGTACAAAGGAACCATTGACTGCTTTATGAAGATATACCAACATGAAGGGATTCAAGCCTTCTTTCGAGGAGCCTTCTCAAATATTCTTCGTGGGTCAGGAGGTGCTCTGGTGCTGGTCCTATATGATAAAATTAAGGAGTTTTTTAATATTGATATTTCATCAGGCTCAGCAGCTGACTAAAAGCCACTGCTGAGAAGCTACTTTACTTGTCAACCCCAAAGAAGACTTAACTGTTCTGAAAATGTTCTTACTCACTATTGTACCATGAGTGCTGTCATAACAGTAGTTTGTTGTGGAGCTGCTAAATCTGCATTTATACTCATGATTTGAAAGCAACCATTCTTTTTCTCAGATAAAGAAGTTATGTTTACTTGTTTTCAAAAACCTGGCTATAATGTTTCTGTCTGTTTCTTATATTATTCATTTTCATTACCAAGTCACAATCCAGGTGCTTGTTGTAGAGAGCCAACACTAGCTGCTAGACTTCACCTGTTCAGTTGGTGCTTTCCCAGACAAGGCAAAAACTAGGCCCAGGATAGCAGTGCAATATTTTGCTCCCCAAAATAAGTAAGGGAGGGTAGATTTGTAGTAATGGCAGGATTTCTTGTTTACATATATTGTTTTGTTTGTACATTGTTGTGTGCCCTCAACAACTGAGGAAGAGAAGTGAACAAGAAAAAAAGCAGGTATCTTTGTGAAATACAGGCAATTTGGAATCTTTGATTACAGAACAGCAGCTTAAGGGATTCTAATAGCATGTCTTCCTAACAAATTCTATCTGTTACTGAGGAGTCATGTTTAATTAACTTAAAAAATACTCAATAAAGAACTACTTCCTTTTGTCTGTCATGAGTGACTGATTCAGAATGGACAACAGGAAGCGCTTCTTTACTTAATGAGTAATTAAGCTCTGGAATTCACTGCCAGTGGTTATAGTGATGGCTGCAAGCATTAGGCAGATTTCACAGAGGATAGATCCATCAATAGCTACTACTAGCCATGATGACTAAAGAGATCCTCCACATCCATACTCAGATCCATACTCTGAGTACCAGTGCTAGGAGGTAACATGAGGTAAAGGCCTTGGCCTGTATGCCCTGTTTGTTGGCCCTCAAGGGCAGCTGGTTGCCCACAGTGTGAAACCAGATGCTGGTCTAGATGGCTCACTCCTCTGATCCAGTAGGGCTTTTCTTATGGTAGTGCATTACAACAAAAGACTCTTGTGATTTCATAAAGTCTAATAGGTTTATTATGTGTGTGTATGCATAACATGGATAAAAAGAATGGTACACTGAACAGGAAAAATTGTAAACCATGCAGTCAGGCATGAAATGCAAGAGGTACGGCCTGTGACACTTCTGTTGAAAGCTCAAACCACAATAATTCTTAATAGCAGTGAACTCCAAGGCTTGAGATTCTCGGAAAGGAAGAATGAAGCGTGTCCTCAGAATAGCGAGGTAAGAGATGGGGTTCCTTCACCCCTGATTCCTCTCGTCCCTCTTCCTGGCCTCTATTAGTAGGTCTTCTTGTGGTCTCTCTGTATTGACCCCTTTCACATAGAGATGCCAGGTTCTTCCTCCCCAGTCAGCTCCGACTTCTCTCAAATCTCCCAGCCCCACTACCGCCCCTCCCTCACCTGCTTCAGAGAAGCAAGGCCACAGGGCTAGCCAATTCCCTAATTTTGAACTCCCAGTTCCATCCTTCCTCTTCTCAGTCAAGTCATCTTCTTGGGGTTTGCTGGCCACTTCCTCTGTCCTGTCCTCCCTTTGTGGAGATGCTTCCCCAAGGTGGTCGAGAGGGTAAGTTTCCCAGGCCCCCAGGCCATACCTTCCCTGGCATGCTTGCTCCCCCCTGTTGTCGGAAGATGGGGGCGACTTGGTAATAGCCCATTGTTCCACAAGGTATGCTCTCCCCGGTTGGTCTTGACCCTGGTCCCCTGTCCCTCTTCAGAGCTGTCCTTCTCTCCTGGCTGGCCTTTGCAACCCTCTGGGATCTGGAATAAGTCTGGGAGAGGTGGTCCTGCATCCACCTCCAGACTGTAAGTTTACCTTTTTTGTAATTACTTATTGGGAGATTTATCTACTGCACTCAGTATCATGCTTCTGTGACTGGGCAAACTCTGCTATATTAACCAAATATCCCAATAGGATTATGAGTGCCCAGAGTGAATTTTAAAGTTTAAAAGAAATTTTTCATTTGTTTGTTTTTCTCTTGCTTGAGCAATTACAAGACTTCACCACCTGCCAGCAAGAACAAAAGATGCTGGGAATTTGCTTAACAGCTGGTCCCAAGCTCTGAGTGCAGAAAGAAACTTTTTTCTCTCTCCCTTTTGAATTGCTAAACTATAGTCCAATGATATGCAAACCTAGAGAAACTTAATGGAGATAATTTCAGTGCATGGCTTTTTACAACTGAGCATAAGCTCAAAGAAGAAAACGCTAATTTTTCATTAACTGCTCCACAAACTTTTGGTTCTGAAAATGAGATCACAAGATGGGAGAATGCAGATGGTAAAGCACAAAATCTGATTATTTGTACACTGGCTAATTCCCAATTGGTGTACATAAAAGGACAAGAAAATGCAAAAGGGATTATTAAAGCCTTAAGAAAGGTCTGGGGAGAGCAAGACCAGGCTAGCAAGATTTAGAGAGATTTTTCTCAGGCTACAAGAAAGTGGAAATGTAGAGACCCATATAGAAATGTTACTAAATCTAATTGATAAGCCTGTAACTACTGGTAAAGTGCTAGATGAGGATTTACAAACTGGACTGTTTCTAAATTCCCTACCTGAATCTTATTCTGTGTTCATTTCAATATTTAATGGGACAGATTCTATGTTGGAAGCAATGCTCCCTCTAAGCTGTGGAGTCTTGTGAGCAAAAACTCTGCTTTGTGAGCTACTGGCATTAAAGTTGTGAGCCATCGATTTGGCTGCTGCATAAATTAGTTTGCTCCGGAGCCATCCTTTCTGAGCTAAGACAAAAAACGTGTGAGCCAGAGGCTAAAAAACTGTGAGCTAGCTCACACTAACTCAGCTTAGAGGGAACACTGGTTGGAAGACGTTCTGGGACTGATAAGAGCTGAGTACCATAAACAAAAGGGATATCATGAACAGAACAAAAGCAAGACTGACTCAAGTTACATGGTCCAAGAGGCCAGGACAAAGGGGCAGGAACTAAGCAAATGGCCACAGAAAGCCCAACCCCAAAGACAAAAGAAATGTCCCTCACTGCTTCAGTTGTAACAAGCTAGGTCATATTGAGAGGGAGTGCTTGTTCAATAGAAATGCAAATACCAGCACCAACAAGCAACCTCACAATCAAACACAGAGATAGAAGGATTTCTCCCAAAGAAAGCAATTTAATGCATATATCATTTAGCACAAACAAATGAAAATCACAAGCCTTGGTTAATTGATACTGACATCAGATATTAAACACAAATGCTTCAGGAAACATGTGCCTAGCCAGTGGAGGTCAAGTGGACATACAAGGAAAAGGAAAAGTCACACTAAATTGCCAAACAGGTGATCGTGGAACTGAAATTACTGCAGATGAATGAAGTTTTATATATTCCTGATTTAAAGGCAAATTTGCTAAGCTGCCCACACTCAGAAAAAGAGGTAAGGTGATGGCATATCCTATCTGGAAATCAAGGCCATTCCTAAGGCGTGCAGTACTATAAATAGTTTGTTTTCTACCACAGAAATGCATATGGTTCCTTCAAAGAACAGGTGATGAAAACTGCAGGGGGTGGTGGTGGAGGGATCTGCTGACCCTTCACTTCTCCATAATAAAAAGATCACAGTTCTAAACCTCCAAATATTTTTCATCTCGTACAAACCACATTGTTCACTGACAATCACTAAGGGACCTTACAGGCAAGAATCAACAGTTAAATATGAAAGAAGAAATGTGATTGTGGTGATGCAATAGCATAACCAGCATTAAGGGCCAAAGGTCTAGAAAGTATAGTTGCTGTAGCAACTAAGAAAAATTAAACCTGACATGCTTGGGGATGTACTTCCTGTGAGTGCACAAGGTGTTATGTTTAGTGTCTGATTTTTCATAAGCAGTGCTACTCACTTTCGGCTCTTCTGGGAGACATAACGTTTGAAACGGAAGAAGCTGGCAAATTGATTTACAGCCTGCTGCACAGATGTGCCGGCCGCAAATGATGTTCCTCAGAAAAAGAGGCTGAAAACTGCAGGCCCACAGTGGAGCCTTCAGACACAGAGTTCATCTGTCAAAATGGGCTGGGCATGGTAAAGGACTGTCAAGGGAGATAAGAACATTTGTTTGTACTAGGGATGCCAGCCTCCAGGTGGCACCTGGTAATCTGGAATTACAGGTTATCTCCAGATTACAGAGATCAGTTCTCCTGGAAGAAACATGGATGCTTTGGAGGGTAAACTACGGGATTGTACCCCAATGAGGTCCCTGGCCTCCCCAGGCTCCATCCCAAAATCTCTAGGAACTTCCCAACCTGGATACGGCAACCCTACTCCCCCATCCCCCACCAGTGGCCAGGGGGGACCTGGCAACTCTCATTTGTGATGTCGCCTTTGTTGAATGAATTTCTGTGTAGATCCAGGATACACTAAAATGCCTTTCCATCCCTCTTCCTACCTTAGAGCAAAGGGGAACTCATCCTCTAACAGCTGGATGAGTTGGAATATATGTCTTGTGTACAGAGAGGAAGAAAGAAGATTCTGCAGGGCGGCCACAAGCTCTAGCTAGATGGGACTGTAGGGGGAGTACCTTCTTTCTAAAGGGGCTTTTCCTTGTCTGCTGAGTGTTACTCATAGGGTGTGTTCAGACACACCGTTTGATCTTGTGTCATTTTTTTATATATACATTAGACTTTATATCAGGGGTCCTCAAACTTTTAAAACAGGGGGCCAGTTCACTCTCCCTCAGACCATTGGAGGGCCGGATTATAGTTTAAAAAACCCTATGAACAAATTCCTATGCACACTGCACATATCTGCAGTTTGGCGCCCCTGAGGGCCAGCGCGCCGGATAAATGTTTTCGGCGGGCCACATGTGGCCCACGGGCCGTAGTTTGAGGACCCCTGCTTTATATCCCGTTCGAACCCCCTTTCAGGGGTCTCTGAGCGGCTTACAGGTCGGTGCTAGTCACCATTTATATTAATTCCCTGACTACGGCCACATTATAGG